CGTACAGGATGATCATGTCGACGGAATAGCTCTTTCAACCATTCAGTCTCCCATGCCACAGATGCGGAATAAGTATCCGGCTGAGGCCCACCATTTTTCCAATTCTTCAGGGTTGGCTTGCAATCTGGAAGAAGAATGTCCTTTGAATCTGAGTTGGTCCAAAAAACACGCTGCACCTTGACATGCTTCTCAGTGGGTGGTCGGAAATAGATGTACTTCTCAGCAAACACGATGAAGGCAGCCCTTTTCAGAATTGCCATAGCATCGGCATTGGCGATGTAGCCCACGGCTGGACGGACCAGCTTCATGAAAGACTCATGGGAGACTTCTGCTGAGAAAACACCATCAACATCGCCTTCTTGACCCTCTGGGTTGTACTGGTTGTCTACGACGATGCGAAGCTGATGCATCACGAACTTCGCTGCCGTCCACCTGCCCAAGAAAATTAATGATTTACATTCACAGACATGCATGTCAAGGGAAAACACAATATGTGGATTGCACATGCACATGTGATGTGACATTGCAGAGCCCGGCCTTTCCTTCAGGATGGTCTCAGAATCTCCCACATCTGAGAACGCCTTTTTCTTTTTGATGGTCTCATTACCGATTTCACCATCGTCAAAAATGGCAGGCGTGGCCTTGTCGAAGAAGATGCCACGAAAGAAATCAAACTCCGGGGCTGACCTGAACTGACCATTTCCTCCATGATATCGCGAAAACATCATGGAAAGAATTCGAGCGAGAGGGGTTTTGCCGACACCGGACTCTCCGAGCAGCCACAGGGAATGTCCACGAAGATGAGGCAAGAGATCTTCCAAGATGGTCAAGATTTCTGGCTGAATGGCTTGGATGGTCAAATCATATCTGTCAGACAATTTGGCCAGACATCCGTCATTAGCAAGACAATCAAGAGCTCTCTGAACCAACTTCTCGTTCCAACCATGGCTCGGAGAACCTTCTTTTTGGATGTGGCGATGGATCCAGCGCATCTGCTTCAAGTTCTCCTTGTCTCTCTCACCGTTGCTGATGATGAAGTCCCATCCTGCATCCTGTTCATCTTCTCCTTGAGGGGCACGTGCTTTTTGTTGGATCGGACCTTCTCAGCGGAAAGAGAGAAGTGACGAAACTGATGCCCACCCAGGCACTCCAACATCCACTGGAAGCCACGGCGAGCTTGCTGTTTGTTGAGGGAGGTCCAAGCAATCTCCTTGCCTTGACCACGCACGAGCTTGGCAACATATGCGCCCTTGACTTTGTCACTCTTGACGTAGTAATGCTTGAGGACACATAGTTTCCCATTGGTTTGCGGAAGCAAACAAAATTGGGACAAGCAAGAGAACGTGGGGCGTTCCTTCAAGGTAAGTGCTTCAGGAAGCTCTTGCCAAGCCTTGTCTCTGATGATGGCTTTCAGATTGTCCATGTCGATCGAGGAGGGCTCGACATCATAGATTAAATCAACGAAGTGCTTGATTGAAGGAGTAGAGTCCGAAAGCCTGAGAAGCATAAGAAAGAATCATGCATAAATATCACATGTGATGGGGTATGGCCTATCGACTTTCGATGACACTTGAAGACAGACAAGAAACTCCAAAGGTAGACAGATCGGAGTGACCGAACCGACCGGTAGAGGGCCAACATGAACATGAGCTGGAAGTTCTCGCAGCGTGAGGTGCTGGGTCGCTGCGATGGCATTGCTCAGGGACATATTATCGCCCTCCACCTCCATGGCCATAGAGTGTTGAAGGGCTCGAAAGATAGCACAGAAGCAAATTGAACGATAAAAGGATGACTATGAGCCAGACAGGATGGGCATAGGAATTTTCTGAAATTGCAAAACTAAAAAAACAAACAAAAAAAACAAACTCATGGCTTGCAGACGGTCTTGGGTCCAAAGATTTTCTTTTAGGTTTTCCTGATTGCAGTGTCCAAAACCTGTTGAAAAACCAAAAAACCAAAAAAAACAGACTCATGGATTGCAGAGGGTCTTGGGTTGGTTGGGTTGTTTTTTTTGTTTTTTTGTTTTTTTGGTTATGTGACACTGAAGACACTGAAGCATTTAGTATAATACACTCACTGAAATATAGTGTTTTTGCACTAGTCTACTAGATATGCAAGAATACAGTGAAATATTTACAGTTTTAGCGCACGCTGGTGGTAACGTGTTCTGAACAATATCCCCCAATGAGATAGAAAATGTAGATCCCCACCAAACATGTATTGGGCACTTGGACGTCGTCTCTATGCATTTGGGGACCACAAAAGGGCCCAGTTATAGGCCGGTTCACACGGAAAAATCCCTCGCGCCATCGACCCGTCGGCGACTTCCTGGACCGACCATGTGAGACCTTCACGAGAACATGGGCTGTGGGAAGGGAGGTGTGAGGGGCGTACCGGCCTGAAGTGAGTTCGGTGACTGGGAGCAGTGCCGCGATGTTTCATGCATGACTCGCCTCCGTAACTTGCTCAGACCGCTGGATACCGCTGGACTCAGACCACGTGGAAGTCGAAGAACGCCGAGAAGACTACAACCTTGAAAACGTGGGGTTTCCACTTCTTTTATGAACATGTTTGTCAGGGTACAGCTACTGCAGCCGGACATATTGGAGCCCTTTTCATGGCTCAAACGAGGAAGAAGAACACCAGTGACCTGTGGGCCTGCGGGCCCGAAGCGGGTCGTATGAAAACCTAGACTCTACATGACCCACATGAGCTTTATATGGCTCGAGGGTTCCCTCGGTGATGCACATCTTCCAAGCTTCCACGCAGGATTCCCCATCTGCCCGGGCGGCCCGGACCTTCCCAACAGGTGGTTTTTTGGACATCCCGAATCACCGCTGGGAGGTGATTTTGAGACACCCCTTGACGTCAGTAAGGTTCACACGGGCTTTGGCCGATCCGCGCCTGAAAGTGTGGCTGGCCGCTCTGGACCTGCAATCGTCGGATGCGGAGAATCTCTTCAACCTGCTGCTCGGCGGATCCAGAGGATACTGGAGGGCAGGGAGCAGACCAAAAACAAGGTTCCGGATGGGTATCAGACACTGCTTCCTGGGCACTTCTTACCATTGGCTGCGCCTTGAGGTTGGATGATGGCGATGGATCCATTTCCTATCAGGAGTTCTTGAGCGGCGCCAAGCGTCTCAAAGGCACGGTGTTTCTGGGAACTCGGTTCCGGAAGGATTGGGGGTGGAAGGCGAGTGTCTTTTTGGGAGCCGGTGCTGGCGGCAGACCCTGCTATATACTGTATATACATACGTGGTGCCTGCGGGACTTTTAGAGCATGGCCTTTTTCGCGGGATTTTGCATTCCTCATGGGAAAAGTCGGAATCTGGACGCAGGTGGCCCAGGTGTGCGGTTTGCTCTTGAATTTCCCAAAAACCACAGGTTTTTGTTCAATCTTCAGCCGGCAGGACCGGCAGTCTTGGCTGGACCCCTGAAGGATCGAACCAAGAATCGGAAGTGGAACACCCACCACCGAAACAATCAACGACATGTTCATTGGTTTGCAGACCAAGGCCTTACACACATGACCAATCATGTGTAACAACTCACCCGTTGGCCAGAAAACACCGGGGGTTCGGGTCATTGGTAAAAAGACACGATTTAGTATGCACAGTGGTTTCTCATGTACAGTGGTCCCCAAGGCGCCCAACACGATGTCCGTTCGACAGATGGGGGTCCACTACTAAACCACGGACATTGGGGTCTGTGCCATTGGGTCCTCTCAATCCACTATCAGAACAGCTCGACGGACCAGGCGGTGCGCAGTCCATCGATTTGGTCACGCTGATGCGTGAATGCGGCCACTGGGTGTGTAACCACACGCAGACATTGATGCCATAAAGTATGGAGGAATGATGCCTAGTTTTATGGATTTCTGTGGTAGGGATTTAGTTTACATACAGTACTATACTGTATCATATTGTGCACATCTATCTCTGGTTTCTTCTGGAGGTTCGTGCTTTCATGTCACCAGGGTTGATTCTGAGAAGAGCTGAGCTCCTCCGGCAGTTCATTAGGATCCATCGCTCAGCAACTCTTGTATAGGTGAAGCTTGCCATCGCTCACCGCCCCCCCGATGGAACAACGACTCGACTCGATACGAAACGCAGGGTCTCCCCCGCTGTCACCCCGTTCGAACCCGCTGTCGTTTTGGGACCTCTCTTCGGCGGTTCGTTCGGTCGGCTGGTTCCTTCCAGTCGATCCCGGAGAGAAGTGGGCTGGGTCCAGCCAGAACACCCAGATGGTCGGATGCTGGAAGGAACCAAACGATGTCAGATGACAGGCCGTGTGCCACGCGAGATGAGCGGATGAATCACTATAATTCCAATTATATTCCATTTATTTCCATTTTATATGCTAAGGAATTCTGGTTTCTAATAGCTTCTGGTTCCCAGTAGTGCAGCCAGGAGCCCCGTTCGTAGCGTCCTTGCCCCTACCAACCGCAAAGCACTCTGTTCATGTGAGCGGCTGTGAGCTGCAACCGGGTGCCCGCTCCACCCACCGGTGCCCGCTCCACCAACCGGTGATTCGAACTCGGCTCAGGCAACATGCACCACGACATCCGCATGCTGAGTTGCTCGGACCCGGATTCCGGATCGACTCGGACCCTTCGTGCCTATAGCCCAGCCCATCAGCCGCCAACGTGCCAACCTACCACTGAGTCGGGCCGGGAAGCAACAACCAAAGAGTCCGTCGGGTTTTTCCGGTGTGGTGAGCCCTTTGTATGTCCACTGCGGTGCCCAGCGTCGTCGGCGAGAGAAAGACAGAGGCACCGGAGCGACGCTCCGTGGGTTGTCCCGAGCGGTCGTCGTGGTGGGGGCCGGTTCCGGATGGAACAACACTCACCTTCACATCCAATGTTCATCTCCCACCTCTCTGAAGCTCTCCCACCTCTCTGAAGCGATTGATGATGACTAGCGTGCGATCCGACCAGTTTGTTTGTTGTTGCTAGGTAGTTGCATGTTGTTCTGACTAATCCATTCTATCTCCTGTTGATGTTTCCTGTCATCCACTTCTATGACACCAAGAGCTTCCGAGAACCCCCATGACTCGCCGCTGTGTGGCGTTGCTCGACATTGGCACCATCCTCCGAACTTCATCCATCGAGGACTGGGCGCGGATCCATCGTGCCAGAAACTGAGGCATGACGGTGGAGAAGATGGCGGCGAAGATGAAGTTAATGTTCCACTGAGGGGTCCACATCGGGCGTCCACGCCGGAGATAAGACAGACCGAAAGAGATGAATGAAAGACACAGATATTAGGGTACAAGGCACAAGGGTCCCAATTGTTTATGATTTCAGGACCCCTGTACAGTGAACCCAACCGAAAAGGTCGCTCCAAAGGGATGAACTCCGACTTGGGGCTCCGTGCATCAGGTCCCCTTCCAGAAGATCTAGGCGTAAGACGGGGACCCGTTTGACTAGCGTCTTGGGATTGCGATCTGTTGGGATCCAACAAGCCCATTCGCCAAGGCGCACGACTGTCAGGTCTGCGAATCCCTGGCCGGTCGAGGTCTGCGAGTCCACCGTCGCGTGGAGAAATGGATCCTGGATCACCCCCCCTGGGATGAATGTGCCTGTTTTTGGGGTCAAACATGGCCGGGGGAAGCTGCAGCAGGAGAGTTCTATTTTTTTTCGGATTCATGTCCGGTTTCATGTGAAATACCATTCAAAACGTAACTTTCTCAAGTGTGGAGGATGATTTCCCTGCGCAGGTGGCATGCGTTTCTTGAGGTCAGGACGTTCACACGGGCAGGTGTGGCCTGGAGGTGGAGGTTGCTGTGCCAGATGTGCGTTTCAGGGTGTTGTCTGGAAGCTGTGTTTTCGTGACAACTCTCAGCTAATTGCGATTTTGTTGGAGGTGAGTGTGCGCAGAAAGTCTTCGAACAATCAAATCATTCCGAACGTGCGGTGTGGTGCAAATTTTGCTGAAGGCATGAAGATGTCACGTTGTCGCTTGTCGTGGCAGGCGCAGTGCTTCGTGCGTGTTGGAATTGTGGAAGTTGAAATTTTGTGGCAGGTGCGGGGAATTGTGAGGTTGCGACGATTGGTGGGGGTGAAAGTCGCTGTGCCATGGGGATTGGCGTGTCAGCTGTGTTTTTTAAGGGCTGGGATTGCGAAACTGCCTGGCAGGGCTGCTTCCTATGTTCGCTTTGGTGAGACTTCCCCCGCTTCACTTTGGGAGGAATTCTCGTGCCCAACGCTCGTTTTGGAGACTTTGGAGCAAGTCTCATACGAAACGCTCGTTTGGGCACGAAACCCTCGTTTTGGAGATCTATTTTTGAACGAATTCTGGTAC